AGATAGGAGACCTTATCACAATATTATATACATATGAGACTTTCTGAGCATCTCTATGCATAGACAAAGATGTTCGAAGGAACTTCTGTAAATAGAAAACCTTTTGGGCGTCTTCTCTGACCTTTCATTCTCCCATGAATTTATGACTTCTAGAGGTTTTCTTCTACTGTAGACAGGAATACTCCTATAGGTTTCATATATAATAATTAGTATATGAATAGTGTTCAGAAAGTGTTGCCAATGTCCGGATTTCTGCATTTTATGAATGCAATTCATAAAACGTTATATACTGATGGTAATGGCGGATTTTCTATGGCACAGAAACTATTTGTCGTTTTGATGTTATCTGTCCTTCTTTGCTTTATCTTGTCTCGATTTTTCTTACTTACATACTTACATGTTAAACTTTCACTTATTTGTTATATTGTATTTGACGTTTGTATCGAAATAATTTGGAAAATACATATGCGAATTTTTGTAACATCAAAACAGAGGTCGGTAAAAGTGTCTGAAATACAGTAACAATGGTATGCAAAACTAGCCAATAAAGTGAATGATCGCGGTTGTAAACAAAAGAAACAGTACACAACAACCGGTTGCAAAACTAACAACCTTTTATTTACCTTTGTATTTTTTGTGTAAATGCAGACTTATTTGTATACGTTTATATCGTTTTTTAATTCCAGGGATATCTGAGATATTCTCGAAACAGTTTTATTGATTAATTTACTTTTCTGTGCAAGTTTTTTTACCAATTGAGGAGAGAGACAGAGGACGATAACAAACCAAAACACAGCTGAAAAGTGAATGGGGTGTTTTTTTTTTCTTGGGAGAAACGCATTTGTTTTTGTCAAATGAGAGAGAAAGAGAAATGTAGAGGAAAAAATTAGCAAATAGTGGTAAAGGCGAAGTATGAAAATTGTTTTGATATTAGTGAAATGTTTACATTTTTTGGAAAAAATAGTGGTTTTCTCATGATTATAGGAATTTTTACTTGTAGTTGTTGTTGTTTTTTCAGCAATTTTTATGAGCTTCTCATGTTGGCAGCTCTACCTTCTTCTAGTTTCTGCCAACAATTCTTACAAAATCAAAGAAATGTCTTTGTATTTACATTTATACCCCCAACTAGCTGTGTAATATTCATTACATTTTAATTCCCAGTCAACTAGACTTTATTATTACATCCTTTCATAATCATAATCACAACCATTGTCGTCTTATCAACATTTCTCCATCATCTTTACGTTTTTGCTGCTATTAAAAGTAAACAATTTTAATGCATTTGCTACGGAAATTGATTTATGAGTTTTCTTCTAACTAAACTTTATGTTGAAGTAGAAGAATACACAACACACACTCAAACCCTCATCATTATATTTCTAAATGTTAAGGATCTCAGTTATGTCTGTCATGGTTCAGGGTGGGTGCATATTGACTTGACTTTCCGTCTATGCATGTCGTGCAAAAGTCATACCGCTGGATGTACTCTCGCTTTGCATGGCTATGATTTGGTATAAATTAAGGGTAACATTTGTTTGATTGCCATGTTAATTACGGTTATGCACTCACAAGTGCAATCACTTTAAATATATTTTGAAGAAAGAAAGAATTTAGTTTTAGTTTAGATTGGAGGTCCTATAGATCTTAGAGGAAATGAAGTTTATTATTTTTATAAGAAAGAACATAAAATTGTCCGAGTGTTTTATTTTAGTTGATTTGTTTTAATGCGGCATAGTTCCAATTTACATTAGACAATATCAATTGACTCAATTCTGTAGTTTGTAGATGAGAAAATTGGGGGGAATGGCAACTCTTCACCTCTCTTGTCTACATGCCGACACTTGCCGCAATTAAAATTCCTAATTTAATTTTGGTATTATTATAAGAAATATTGCTTTTGATACATTGTATCATTCCTTTGTCTATAATTAATTTGTTTCAATAAATTTTTAAAAAATTGTCGATTACTAATCGTCCTTAAATTATTCATTTACAAACATTCAAGGGGAATTTTGTATATTTTTATGCAAATGTACCACTATTGTCTTTTAAAATATCCTTAGAATTTTAACAACAAAAACACATCGACCGCATAAAGAATAGAATATTAAAAAAAATCCAATAAGTCCTCTTTTCAGGATACATGCAACTAATGTGATTCAATTTAACTGAGAATGTGCAAATATAATTTACAAACCACCAAGACACAACCCACATCCTTTGCACCCACTACCATTCTGCCATTGTTCAGTTAATGTTAGAGTAATTTTTTACAGACACACACATACACACCAACATATGCATGCATAACCATTTATATGAACATATGACAAAAGGATATTGCCAAAGGATCCAATGTCTATTGTTTGAAGCATTTCAAATTGTTTTCTAAAAAAGCGACAACAAAATATTATTAATGTTCAACTATTAAAATGATAAATTACAGATAATTTACATGTTAAAATTATATCCATACATACTATGCAGTGTCATATGTATGAGTTTATGTGTGTGGCTGATGGTGATTGCATTCAATTTTCAAAAAAATGGGGAATATTATAAAAAAATCTATTTGCCAAGATAACGAGCGGTCATTATCTATTTTTAAGCCACACAATAGAGGGTGGTTTGTCACATATTTACCACATACTCACATAGTTACAATGTATGTATACGTTTCATGGAAATTTAATAATTTTCACCACACATACATACCACATAAGTATCAATGGATTCAATTTATTTACGTTTTATCTTTAAATCTTTGTAGAGCCCTTAAACGTTTGCCAAAGATTTATGGTGTGCAAATTATTGACCCAGATGACATCAAATATAATTTATATGTAGTTTTTGGTTGTTGTTTTGTTGTTGTATTGACTTACAAACTATTTCTCATTAATTATTTCAATTTCCTTCCTTGCCTTGCAGGAATATTAAACAATTACCAAAAAAAAACTTAGACGCCTTTCTTACTTAAGAAGTTTCCTGACCACCATTATCACTCATGAAAAATCCGTTTTTGCTTTGTTTTTTTTCTGGCATTTCCGCCAAATGAATTCAAATTGTGATTATGATCTATTCTGATTTTTGTTTTGCCGTACAGTATAGAAAAATAAATAGTTGCAACATGATTAATTGCCTAAATAGCGAGTGAAGCGAAGATTTGTTATTCGTGGTATGTGGGAAGCTAATAAAACATCATCAAATATGGGAAGAAATTAAATGAAAATAGAGAAATATTGCGATATTTCGCAGGATATTGAAGGACAGGGCATAGGATATTCTTAAAGTGATTTTAAGTTTGATCTGGTAATTCTGAAATTGTTATTGTGAAAAAAATAGTTTTTGCGGGGTTAAAATAGTAATATGATTTTAGATAAAATTTGTTTGCAGAACCAGAATCCTACATTCTTTAAATTATTGGGTTTGCGGAACCAGGTATTTAAAATCATTGGTCTGTTCCAGAACTTGCAAGAATGTATAAAAACAAAAATCCTTAATTTAAAAAAATCGTTTTGGTATTAAACAACACAATTTTCACTGAAGTCTTCCCTGTAGCTTCCGTTTGCCTTCTGTAGAAAATATATGACCCTGCGAATTTTGTCCATGCAATAATATGCCGAATTTCTTTTTACAGAAAAATGCGCTCTCTTTCCGGATGCATAGTCGTAAATTTAAGAAAAATTTAAAATTTTCCGGGGATCCTCTAAGTGTTTTACATAAAAAATCAGTTCTGGGGCCCTGTACCCTGTGATTTTCTCTTATAGAAAGTATCTATCCCAGTATCTGATGGGAAAATATGTGGTTTTTTTATAGAAAAATCAGTCCCTGCGATCTTCTTTTTCGGAAGCTTAGACATGTATTTAAAAAAAAATCAAAGTTTACTGGGGCCATGCAATTTTTTTATAACCTCAATATAGAAAAATCCTTTTCGGATTAAAAAAAATCTAAGGCATTTACAGAAGCTTCCGAATAACCCTGGGAATTTCGTTGATGGAATAATATGCTGAATTACTTTCTGCAGAAAAAATCAACCTCTATGATCTTTTTCCTCTATGATCTTTTTTCTCTATGAACTTTGCATAGTCGTATATTTTACAAAAATCAAAAAAATCCGGTGATCCTGTAAGTGTTTGACATAAAAAATCGTTTCTGGTGCCCTGTTTTCACAGAAAAAATCAGTCCCTGCAATCTCCTTTTTCGAAAGAATAGACATCCGATTTTTTCTGGGGTCCTGCGATTACTAGTACCCTTCGATTTTCTTCTATAGAATCTATGTGTTCCATGATGTTCATGGGAAAAATAGATTATTTTATTTCCGGGACGCAAAGAAGTATATTTATAAAACATCCAAAGTTTTCCGGGGCCATAATAAAAAGTCGGTACTAGGGGACAGGATCCTGCAATTTGTTTTCTATAGAATGCAATCACTCTTAGGACTTTCCGATTTTTTTTAGTAGAAAGGGACTAGTAAATTGTTTCTATAGATAAAATCAGTCCCTAGGATCCAGCAATTTTTTCAATAGCAAATATTAGTCTCATGGGACTAGCGATTGTTTTTCTGTAGACAAAAATCAGTCCTAAGAATGTGTTTCTATACAAAAAATCTGCTTACAGGGCCATACATTTCTTTCTAAGGAACAAAATTAGCTCCAGTATTCTGTGAATATATTTATATAGAAAATATCGGGACCATCAACTGTTATTAAGTAGACAAAAATCAGTCTGCTCAGGCTGCTCTTTTGAATTTCATTCCCCTTGTCACTTTTCATACATCTATCTCTCTCTCTCTCTCTCTCTCCTAAGAAGTCAAGGTCCGCGATTTATTTTCTATAATAAATATTATCCCAAGGGGATTTGTTTATAAGGACGAAAACCTGTCTCAACTTCCTTGGATTGAACTACTATGGAACTACTAAACTACCTCTGCTGTACTTTTCTACAATTTGACATTCTTTTTCAATACAATATGTCAAAACTTTTTATTTGTTTTTATAGAAATGAGTAATAGAAAATCTGTGGCGGAAGTAAGAATTTGTTTCTTTCAGTATTTTGAATTCGTTACAATCCCCAATTCTTATAGCGTTCCCGGGAATCGAAAAACTACTATCTTTACTGCATCAACTTTCATGGCAGTGGTCTTGAAACAATTAAAAATGTCTTTAAAACCCAAGTGCAGACAGGACTTCGTCGGCCAGTTTTTATAATTGATGTAGAAGAAATACAAAACAATTCGGAATCGGAAAAACGCAACTCCAAGGATTTCAGCATACATGGAGTGCAACAAGCCATTCAAAATTGTTGCCAAGAATTTGTTAAGGTTAAAAAGAAAATAGCCGAGGAACTTCAATTTAATATCTATGAATATTGGCTACGAGATATTGAGCAAAAAGAAAAAGCTTCGCAAGTTATTGATAATGCTAGTCAAAAGGATAACAATTCGCTGAGTTTAAAAGAATCGGGTAAAATCAGTGCGAAAAGGAAATCAAAAACAAAAAGAGTTTCAAGAAAATCAGATGCAAGCCGTCAAACTCAAAATGAAAATGCTGACAAGGAATTAGAATGTATCCCTTTGGTTGTGAGAGCACATAATCGTGTGGGTCAAGGAGAATTGTTGTCCAAAAGGAAGGTGTGAATGATTTCTTTTTTATGTTATTTATTTATTTTTTTTATATTAAGAAGATTAGTGAAGCTTGAGGTCATTATAAATTGATTGTGAAACATTCACGATACATTTTTTAATTTAAAATTGATATTTTTTAATTTATATTATATAGAATATGTTTCTAATTCTTAATTACTTTTTTTTAATTTCAGTACATTGAAGACAATCCCCTAGACGGCAAATTATATATAATAATCATTGGCCAATTGCATAATGAATTTTATTTGGAATTGTTAAGGTACGTGTAATATATTCATGATATATTCGTAATTTTATTTCCAAAATCTTTTTTGAACAAACTAAAATGTTGTTCTATGTTTTCTTAAGAGGATTTTTATTTCAATACATCGCACTCTCTTCCTTGCCTATACCAATATTCTAATGGTTCCTTCTGACTACTCGACAATAAATTGTTATTTAAATACCAAAGTCTTAAGTTGACATGACACTTTGCCAAAGCTCTGTATTACCTCCATCCTTAGGAATCCTTACCGTACAATCAAGCATCCTCTTATATGTAGTTTTAGCAGAAGCATAAGAAACGATGCTGAGAACTTGAAACTTGAAAAACTTAACAAGTGTTTGTTTTCAAAAAAAAGAAGTTTTACTTTTGCATAACATGGGATAGACAGTTCAGCAGCAAGAACAGCAACAACAAACAACATATACATACGAGTATAACTACTTTAGTCATTCAAATATGCATTTGGTTTTATATGCTGGAAGTCAAAAGGAACTGAAAAAGGAGACGATAAGTGTGTGTGCGCTTTGGTGGTGTTTCGAAAGAGTTGATCTGCCTGGCAATTTAGGAGCTCTATAAAACAGAAAAAATATCAGTAAGAATGGGGGTATGCAATTATTTACATTTGTCATAAAAATTCTATACGATTCGAACCTAGCGAAGTACTCTCCTGCCATGTTATGTCCCCCTGCAAGATAAAGAATTTCTTTCTTTAGAAGACAAATAACAAGTCTTTGCTTGTTGAAGACACATAGAAGTTATTCCACCTGCATCTCCAACCATATACCTTGATAAGTTTCTATATGCAAATACATGAAGGTTGTGTATATCGTAACCCGAAATACATTCCACATTGGGGATCAGTGGGCCTACTTGCTTTTCCCCATCAAAATTGTTCTTTGGCCTGTGTTTTTTCCCAATTTCCCCATCCACTGAATGTCCACTAGTATATTTCTATATCTCTAGCTGGCACATAGATACTGTCTCTCTTAGTTGCAGTAGTTCTTCTCTTTATTCCTGCTTTATAGATCAGTGTCGTCCTCGTAACTGGTTATTTTTGATTCTTCTTCAGAGATATTACTCTTTCTTTTCTGCCACTGCACTTTTCGCATTCAAAGAACTGTCTCCGGTTTTACTTCTTCTAAAAAAATTTTCAATGGACTTGTAAATTCTATCCTTAATTTTTTTCAACAGAAAATATCAGTTCCGAGGTTCAAGCGATTGTTGACAAAAAATAGTCCAAAGATGTTATTTAAAAAAATAAAATCAGTCTCTACAAGACGACTACGACTGTCACATTATCCTACGTTTTTTACAGAAAAAATAGTCTCTAGGTCCTTCCGATTTTTTTTTATAGAACGAAACTTCTAAATTGTTTCTGTAGGAAAAAAAATCAGCCCCAAGGATCAGTACATTTGTTTTCAAAGAAAAATATCAGTCCGAGGAATCGGCGATCGTTAATCTGTAGACATAAATCAGTCCTACGATTTTGTTTCTAAAAAATCAGTCTATAGGTCCATACGATTTTTTGTTTTGTTTTGAACCATTATCTCAAGCAGTGGGCTCTCTCGAGATTAGCTTCTTCTAAATAAATTCCCCCAGTGAGGTTTTGCTCTCATTTCTCCTTATGGTAAATTAATATGTACAGCCGCATATCCCTCCCTGTACAAAATCACTTCAATGGTGGAATATACTTCATCGAGACGTTTCCTTTTCCATCTTTTACCAAACCTGACTGTTCAACGAATCATTTTCTGCTGTCTCCTTCAAGGCAGTCTTCTCCTTCTTGTTTGAATTTGACATCCTTATGGATTTTCTATTGTAGGGTGCTCTGAGCAAACTTTATCTTTAGTTGCAGACATGCATCATGTATTTATACGAAAAATAGCATTACTCATGGAAAATTTATGTGCAACGCTAGAATAAACCTGCTTAGAACCTGACAAACACACACACAGAGACATACAGTCAATACATTTAAAAACAAATAAATGTTAATAACTGATAATTGGTCAATAAATAAAAAATCTTCTTATCAATTTTTTTTAGAAATGGGCAACCAATTTTAGGCATTGTGAATTTTGTCCCAACCGAAAGTAATTATGACCTGATGATAAACAATACAAAACTACACTCTTTTATAGAAATGACTTTGGAATGCATTAGCAACGCGAATTATGAGTATCGCCAGATTGTCACTATGAAACCTGTGGGTCTGTTTACCCATCATCTACCAATTTTATCTCCCTGCATGGCCAAGAAATTACAACGCGATATTTTTGATCAATTGACCTGGTCGGTTTATGACATAGAAGTATTATATCAACAATATCAACTATACTATTTCAAACCCTTTGACCTTTGCAATGTCAGTTTACCCTTGGATGTGGACTTAAAGGAACTTCAAAAAGTGGCGGAATCTTTAAATTTGCAAGGACATTTTCAAGAGCATTTACTGCCCGGCAGTTGCTCGGACTTAGCCACAGTTGCTGTCTATTTGAATGATTTATTGAATACCTGTGGCCCACCACAGCTAAATTACAATGACAGAGATCTGAATATATTAGATTTCGTCAGGGGAAACATCAAGTCTCCCGGTTCGATTTTCTCTGACATTGTGAGAATCAAGAAATTTGGTCGTTTCTTTGTGGATGGTGGAAATAATTTCCTAACTAATTTACTAATCTATAATGAACCCCATCATGGTGTGACAAATCTACGTCCTCTATTTCTTGATTATAATTTATGGAAGCCATATATAGCAAGAAAACATCCAAGAGATCTTGAAGTTGCAGCATCATTGAAAACTTTTGAAAATATGACCATATCTCTACCGGGTTATATTCAGCTATATCTCTCCGAAGTTAGCTGTGATCAGAAAATTTTCGAGTTACTAGAAACCCATGATACCGTTCACATAGAGGAAATTGAGAAAAACTGTAAATTATATACCCTCCATAGAACCTATAATCTCGTAGAGGAATATGAGGAAATGTTCGTTATACCCAGTCGTTTATGTTTTCGTGATTTTACTTTATTTCAAAAAGACGAATTTCTTGAAAATCTAATTACACCCGAAATGCGTAAAGCTAAACAAGAAGAAGCTGAACGGCATTCACTCGAACAAGGTGGCTTGGAAAAGAAAATGGAAATGCTAGAATTAGATGAAGAGATTTTTATACGGCCAAATTCTTTGAAAGCTTTAAAGTTGCAAGAAGAACGAAGAAGCACTGTGACTAGTCAAAACAAGGATGTTCGCAGTAGCCGCACTACAAGCAGACAATATGACAAAAAACTATCCATAAAAAGTGATAATCAAATATCCCAAGATTGGGTAGGTCTACCACCGGAACATCCCTTGCTAAAGGGTTACAATTTGGAAGATATACGTCAGGAAATCAAAGTGCGTACCTCAAAATACTATTTTGAACATGGCCACCTGGAATTATACACCGACAAATGGTGTTTTCAAGAGATGAATCAAACACTGAAGATCTCAATTTTCGATTGCCAGTTATTTCTAAATCGTCCACGTTATCAGGATAAAGGCATATCAAATAATATTCGGCTAAAAACTTCAAATAATATTGATATAAGAATTTTTAATGAAACTGAAGCTAATTCTCGCATTATTGTGAATTATCCCAATGGGTTAAGTGTTTTCTATCATGAAATGTTTTGTGAGCAGCTATGGAATAATGATTATACCTTCAATGAGGAAAGACGCAGAATTATCACCCCTTATGGGGTGGTAATTGTTTTCTATAAGACCAACAATTTGATTTTAATAATGCGTTATAATGGCGAAGTCTATAGATTGTATCAATATGATATGGATGCCGTGGAGGAAGAAGGAGAAGATATATTAAGTGAATTTACAAATAATCAAAGTTGGGAAAATATCGATCCAAATGGTCGAGGAGATTATTTTCGAAAGGGCTCAACATGGCACAATGTTGTGAAGAATATTTCCAGTAATGATACTTCTATTTCGAAGAACTCTTCAAATACCACTAAGAGATGTGAAGGTTTGAGATATTCTATTGGTGATGAATTGAAATTTCTGGAGTATATCTGCACCTTATATGACCTCGGTTATATTCATCTCAAAATAACTACATCTCAGGGGAGAAACATTAATTTGAATCGTCAAGGAAAGGTAAGACATACAAATAATAGGTGTATTCGTTTAGTTCTTCAATGGAGATCAGTTGATTTGTTGGGTGAGTCCACAATATCTAGAAAAAAATAATAGGCGTGTTCGTTAATATTGTCAGTAAAAATTATTCTGCAACAAGCTAATTGAAATGGTAAAGTTTTTACTGAGTATATTTTTCCAATAAGAATTTGCAAACTCTTAATAATACAACTGTCAAATAAATTCACTCTATTTTACTGAATATCCAGAACAAGGCTTGTTAATAAGGTCACCCAGCAGAATCAGCTGTTTATCTAGTTTTCTGTTATTATGAAAACGTAAACAAATAACAAACAATGGTAAACAATATCAAAAATAATTTTTTTGACCAAAAATTTCCATTCCTTTTATGTATCCATTCATTTCCATTTCTTTTTATGGATCTTTTTGGTCAACAAAATGATTTTTGTTATTGTTTACCTATTGTATATAATGTATTTTTAAAGCAATCTTGAGAAACAGCTGATTCTGCTGGGTGGCCTTATTAATAAGCCTTGTTCTTGTCCGTCAGTCAAAGCTTCCTTATAAAATGGCCTTTGATCCAATACAAGACTAATTAATAGGGTCACCCAGGGGGATCTGCTGTTTCTCAGTTTACGTCTAGATACATTATTTATGTAAAAAAGTTATAAATGCCAACTTTAAAAGAATTATAAGAGTTTTGGCTTCATTTTACCGAAGAGTTGAGTCCTTAAAAGCAGAGAGTTCCCTATCTTGATCGAATACAAATTTTTAGATTTATGAAGAAAAATCCCATGATATACATGAATGGCATGATTATTTTGCCAATGAATCGTATTGTGAACGTGGTGATGGTGTCAAAATGATTTGGACCCATGATGCCCTTCGGTGTTATCATCAAGATGGTACCCTAATAACTACAAAAACTGAAGAGAAAATGGAAATCTATGGATCAGATGAATTTGGTTTGTAATATTGGAATAAGAATCGCTAGATCTTTAATTAAAATTTATATTTTCCCCAGATAATGAAATTTCACAAAGTTCTTCACACAATTTAATGGAAGAAGAGGAAAATGAATGTGTTTTGAAATCGGAAAAACGAAAGCCCATTTCATCTTTTAAATTTTTAAATACAGAATGCCCCGAAGAGTGTAGAGAAGAGAAATTTGTACATTTTCTTTGTAATATATCCTTAATAGAGCATTCTTCTTATGCGGCGGTCCACATTACGTGGTTAGACTCTTCCATTCCTAAACAAATACCCATAATCATGGACGTTTTGGGTGTGGATGATATTATTTTATATACACTTTCCTCAGAGAAAAAATCAAATTATTTTGAAGAGAAAAATACTGAAATAGAAAATGGAAGTCTATATAAAAAGTCAGGTGATGTAGTTGTTCACCTCTGGATTGGTGACAAATTACATTTTACTGTTGATCAGCAAGGTTTTGAAATGTCTGGGGCATTGGAACCCCAATCGCTTTCGAAGGAGGTGGAGAAGAACACAAACAGGTAATTATATTTTATATATAACAATGCTAATTTAGATTACATCTGTATTTTGACATATCGATGACGGATCAGCTGTTCTTCCTAGATGACATTATAAATAAACCTTAGCATAAATTAAAAAGTATTTAGTATTGTGAATATTTACTTTTGTTTGTTTTTCTCGTCATTAATTCAAAATATATAGTGATTTGACAAATTTATACTCTATCAGCTGTTCATGTTGTGCAGAAACTACAGAATTGATAACATTTTCCTCATGATGCTATAATAGCTTGATGTATCAAAACAAAAATTTTTGTTTTTGTCTCAACCTTCTGTCAATTTATTCCCTATAATATTTCACATGGTTGGTAACATCGCACATCGAATTCAAGTAGAAATTACGCACAAGACATCAGCTACTCTATATGAACTACCCATGGCACAATGAATAGGTAGTTTGATTAACTGTCAAAGTGCGTAATTTCTACTTGAAAATAAAATAAAGCGAAATATAAATACTTTTCTTCCAATTTAACGTTATAAAGTCAATTCACAATAATGTATTTTGACAGAATTTAGACAGCAACTTTGGGAAGCAGCTGATCAATATATGTTTACAAGGTCATCCTGTTTGCGAAAGTCAGCTGTTTTCTTAAATCGAATGTCAGTAATTAAAACGTTGTTTAGGATTTCATCATGATGCAATAATTAAGGTGATGTATCAAAACAAAAACCTTTTTTGTCTCGACAATTTGTCAAATTTTTTCCATATAATATTTCACATGGTTGGCAACATTGCACAACGAATTCTCGATTAACTGTCAAAGTGTACCCACTTTAATCGAGTTAATCGAGACATCAGCTATGCCATGGTTCTCATAATGGAAGTCAATTCACAAAAATGGCTGGTCTCCCTTATGATGACCTTATTAATAGGCCTTGTATCGAATCTTCCTTGAGGACCTTATTAATGGACCTTCGGAAAGAGTATCAGCTGATCTTCGGGGATGACCTTGAAGTTTTAGTAAATTCTCTCCCTTTATTCAAATAATTCAAATGTAACCACTGAGCAAATATTTCCTTCAAAAATGCCTTTTTAATGATGCAACTATAAAATTCCTTTGGAAGCCATATTAAACCTTTATTGAATAGAATGTATTTACCTCCAAAGGTTATGGATAATGTATGCAGTAAAACCTAACGACTTTGTAGACTAGGATTCTCTAGACAGCAAGACGATCGTTAATTTCGTGTCCTTCGTTAAGAAAGTGTACGAATGTGTGTATCCTTTTTAACAATACCTTAGGGAGAAAACCCCCTTTAAGTTAACCGAGCGAAGAAAATTTGCAGAATTGCTGGATGGATGGGTTTCATCATATATATCAGGCATGGAGGATGTATATCCAAGCTTTTAGCCAAACATTCATATTTGGTCATACATATACTCTCGCTCCCCATCCCCTGTGTGACATTATAGCATTGTTTGGGTGATGATACTTTGCATTTATGATTAGTGGGGAGGAACAGTGTTGGACATGAATGCAGATGACGATAATAATGATGATGCTGATGACGGCAATGGAGATGTGATGTGTTGCGAAATGCATTGCTCCACTGATGTTGACAATGATAGTTATTGTTGTTGCTGCTGCTGCCGTTGACGGTGTTGCAAGAACGTTAATAAAGCCAAAGGTTTAGCTGGAAATGTCTGGAATGCATTATTATCTTTTGCTGTGAACATTATTATGCAAATGAAAATGTTTTATCAAGTGGAAAATTGTCAGTCAGTTAAGACATACATACACGCAGTACATAGACAAAACCGCAAATTATCCTGAAGAAATGCCAAGCAAAAACAAAAAACACTCCGGAGTGCTTGCTCACACATTGTTTTCAAATTCAAATTAACATAAAAATAAATGTGTATACACTTGCTTGAATCCTTCTTATTCTTCTGTTTTTATCTTTATCCTTGCAGTGATTCCTTAATATTGACAATGTCATATGTGGAATGTTTAACGGATGCTTTCAAATATTTGGTAAATCAAATTGCCACATTTTACCAGTACAATGGTCAAATAAAAATGCAACATTATTTTGTCAAGAGACAGGGGAAGGGTAAGTGCTATAAACGTTTTTTATTTTAAATTTATAGCAAAACGTTTTTTTTTATTTTTTGATATTATTCCGTTTCCTTTTAGGTTTTGAATTCCTTGAGGCGTTACCTCCACCAACTGCTTACACATATAACTGTGGCAATTGTATTCTGCAAACCCAAGAACTGAAGACGGTTTACGAATTAATGCAACAAAAAATTGAAAATTTTGAAGAAGATATGAACAAATTTCCCAGATTTCGTAATAAGAGACCGCACAAAAAAGAAATGGGATTTCCCATAATTAATACTTTAAGGTAAATATAACGTTTATTTGGAAAACTTTTTAAATACAAACATTTTTATATTAATAAAGTAGACCACGGATATAAGAACATCTTCAGAACATTTTTCAATAACATAAGAAAATAGTTTATAGTATAAAATACATTCATATAAGAAAAACTCGCTTTTAAGAACAAATTTCTTGATTTTTTTGGATGCTCTTATATCCGTGGTCTACTGTACTAAATTTTTTGAGAATTTCTAATATAAACCATTAACAACATATTATATTTTAAATAATTTTGGTAAGGAACTCCTTAAAATAATTTAGCAGTTTTAATTCCAAATCGTTTACAGTAAACCACTTTCTTCGAAATATTTTAGAATATATAACAATTGATTTTTAACCTTTGAATTGTCATACATTGGTATACGCATCTTTGACATTTTCTCTGGACATTTAAATGTTTCATTAGTTAAGTCTTTGGATATGGTTCTATCCAAAACATCCATTGGAAATTCACATAGTGATACATATAAACCAATTAGTTCACAACGTTTAAATTCTAACAAAATATCCTCCCATTTGGGGATATCATCTAAAGGATAATTATTTTGCAATAATGTTTCCTTGAAACTTCTGTAGTAGGTTTCTAGCAAATTCTGTTTCCTTTCCTGTAGAACCGGTAATTCCAAGCTGTTGTAGAGGAAACAATTTAAATCGAAGCCACAACCAGACCAAAATGATTCTTGGAAATCAACCTGAAATAAAAAACATATTTCTTAAAAAGGCAAAAATATTACTTTAAATTAAAAAACTTACAAACACAACATCTAGGGGTTCCCGAGAATTTGCGGTATATTTAAATAGCATATTATTTATCCACAAATCTCCATGGCTAATTACATTGACGGTACTATTGTTCGGGTCCACCACATTTTTCACCATGTCATTAAATCTATCTTTCAAATTATGTAGTTTTTGAGTTAAGTGTTCATATCCCGACCAAGTCTGAATCATATTGGCCACATATTCAAAACCTCCGTGGATTATATTATCGTCCACTTTATCTGTAACTTCTTTGGTGAAATTCGATTTTCTAAGACTTTCAACTTCTTGAGGAAACTGTAAGGGATGTATGGGTTATTTAATTGACTATTAAATCTTTCAAACACTTACTTTTTTTTGATATAACATTGATGCGGCATGATATTTACCCAATTTCGTCATAACCAATTGAGCATGGGCTTCATTCAATCCTTGTACACGATCTGCACAAACATATCCCAATGTATTTAGATTTTCCAGAATATAAAATTCATGCTTTTCTTTGCATTCAATCAAAAAACATCTAAAAATTAAAATTATCAAGGATGTAATCAACTGAGATATATTTAAAATTTATCAATTTACTCTGAGACTCTCTTTTTTGTTTACCTTCTCAGAGTCAAAATCTCATAACAACTCTCAGAGTGCAAAAATACCCAAAATGTTCGGGAAAGAAAAATTGTAAGTGTTTGAATTAGTTGGCAAGACTTCAAAATCAACGAAGTTGGCATTTCTGGTTACAGGAAATATAACCAGGGCTGCCAGATTTGACGATTTATCGTCATTTTGACGATTTTTTGGTCAAAAATTGAAAAATGACGATTTGACGATTTTTGCCCAAAAAATGACGATTTTTGGTCATTTTAGTAATATTGCAATATTTGGGTTCTTTTTGTTATGGCAACATCAAAAATGTATAAAGCGAAAGAAAAAGTAAAAAGAACTTGAATATTTGGCATATGTGTGTGAGGTATACTTTGTACTGTTACAAAGCCAACAACAGTTTACGTTTACCCAGATAGATGAAAAACTACCAATCAGCTGTGCCGTTCTCTGGGTAGACAGCAACAAAACAAATAAAAGTTAACGGTTGTACGGAAGGTAATGGTATTACCCCATTCCTCAGCAAATGTTGAGCGTGTTTTCAGCCAAGTAAATCTTAATAAAACGAAAAGTCGAAATTCCCCCAATAAGGATTCAATGGAGAAATTTATACCAAAGATTATTTAAAAGTTAACAAAACAAATTGTTATGATACGTTAATTAAAACCGACATGTTGAAAATGATTAACACAAATATTTCTTTTCAAAATGAATGACTTTATTAAAGTCGAAATGACTATTCAAATATTTATTTATAAAATAAATACATTTCTTGATTAGCTTTCAAAAACGTGTTTAATAAATTGAATACCTCTTTTATGTTCATTTTAATAAAAAAATATATTTAAATATATCTAAATGGGCGTATTTAAATTTTTGACGATTTTTGATAAAAAAATCGTCATTTTGACGATTTTTCCAAAAAAAAATCTGGCAGCCCTGAATATAACTACTAGAAACGAGTAAAAGAGAACGCAATTTTTCTCTCTCTCTCTCTCTCTTCAATTTCTCTAAAATTATTACTAGTTTTCAGAGTATAGGAACACTTTTCTACAAATATTTACTGTGATACAGCTTCAGGAACCCACTTATAAATTATTAACTTACTTGGCATACATTTTTTCTGTATCTCTTCCCTCCGCAGGGTTTAAATATTTTTCCATAACTGGCAAAATTTTTGTTAACATCGCCGGTTCGTTGGTTCCAATCTTTGATATTTCTTGCAGCATAATTTTTACATCGAAAGAATCCTGCAGGGTACTGGTATGATTTATTTCCCACACAAAATCCGCTACATAGATGTTACTGCAAAAATTCTCACCATTCGCTGATAAAATCTTGAAATCGCGAGCTTTTATTTTGATACATTCTCCAGTTATTTGATGAGCTTTCGACAAAGCAGACACGATAAGATCGTCATCGAGTAGTTTAGGTATGGAAAGTGTTGACATTTTCGAAGGGAAAACTTTTTTCCGTTAACAGAACTTTACTAAAGGTTGATTCACATATAACTGAAAACTACGAATTACACCAAGTGATATTTAATGATAAGTGTTGCCATTATCTATTTTTAAATAAATTAAATTGCTTACTATTGTGAAATATATAAAAATATAGCTTTTGCTACCTTTTGAAAGGTAAATTTATTAAAAATAGTAGAAATGGTATGGAAATCCTAGTAATAATGTCTGGCAACCTTCAAAATCCATTATTGTGAATTTCACTTCCGTTATGGAAACGTTTGAGTAACTTTATTAATAGATCTTGCTTTATTTCATAGCACACTAAATAGGTAGTCCCATGGCAAATATTCCCGTAAATAGGTAGTCCATTTAGCGCAGCTGATGTCTCGATTAACTGTCAAGGTAGGTAATTTCTACTTGAATTCGATGTGCAGTGTTGCTGACCATGTGAAATATTATAAGGAAAAATTTGACAGATGGTCGAGACAAAAACAAAGGTTTTGTTTTGATACATCAACGTATCATTAGGTTCGTTCGTTTACTTTCCCAGTAATATTTACTCAGTAAGAATTTGCAGAGAGTAAATACGAATTTTTCCTTTTCAAGAGAGAAAACTACAAAAAGTAAACGAACAACATCCAGTTAAAAGATTGTTTCGACACAGCTGATTAAAACAACAAACAAATTGGCGCAAACTATAAGACAACATTTTTATTAGAAAAATGGATAACAAGCGGAAAATTGATGTTGTTTGTTCCCCATAAACATTTAAAAGGGTTGTGACCTGTTATTCCTGTATCTGCAATTGATATGGGGGTGGACATAACCGATGGTGTTCCAGACATGTTAGGAATGCACACTTTTTTGTTTCGATTTGGAACCTAAAAAATCGTTCGCCAATTACTCTTATTATTCTTATTTTTAAATACTTGCGTTTTCTTCATCCATTTTGGTATTTAATGATACAAAATCAAAATAAAATTCACAAAACAATCAATTTTCTTGAGAACAATTTTTTGTTTGTTTACAAAACATAACAAAACAGCTGATTAAATATCAGCTGATGGTACAAGAAAATTCTTACTGAGTAAATTTTCCTTGTAAGAATTTGCAAATACTCAGTAACACAACTGTCAAATCTCTCTCAATTCACTCTCTTTTACTGGACTTTTGGGTAAACGAACAACATTTTGTAATAATTTGTACAAATTCGTACAAATTATTGAGTAAACGAACGAACCTATTGCAACAAGCTTTATTTATATTTTCCATTTGGTAACAGCTGTTACTGAATTTTGTGTGTTCACTCCAAAATCTTTCAAAAGAGAGAAAGAAGTTGTGACAGAAACATTGATAAACAACTGATTTCTCAGTGTGACCTTAGTATAATGTATTATACCAAGTATAATTTCAATGTGTGATAAATATATAAACGATGAATAAATCGACTAGAATATTTATACTTATTTCTTTATTTTACTGGAGAGTTTTTTCTTATTATTTATTTGTATTTCAATCATTTACAAAATACCAAATTCTTCAAAATATTTCAAAGCATACAACAATTGATCTTTAACCCTTGGATTATCAAACATTACTTTACGGTTCTTTGACATTTTTTCTGGACATTTAAATGTTTCCATAGTTAAGTCTTTAGAGTTGGTTCTATCTAAGGCAACCATTGGAAATTCACATAGCGATATATATAAACCAATTAGCTCACAACGTTTAAACTCCAACAAAATATTCTCCCAATTGGGTACATCATGTAAAGGATAATTATTCTGCAATAATGTTTCCTTGAAAGTCTTAAAATAGGTTTCTAGCAAATGCTGTTTCTTATCCTTTAGAACCGGAAATTCCAAACTATTGTAGAAAAAACAATTTAAATCAAAACCACAACCTGACCAAAATGATTCTTGGAAATCCACCTAAAATAAAATAAAAACTTTTTTAAAAATAAAAACAAGTAAATTATTTAAAAATGAAAACTTACAAACACCACGTCTTGAGTATTCGCGGCATATTTAAATAGCATATTATTTACCCACAAATCTCCATGGTTAATTACATTAACCGTACTATTGCTCGGATCCACCACTTTTTTCACCAATTCATTAAATCTATCTTTCAAGTGATGTAGTTTTACGGTTAAGTGTTCACAACCAGACCAATTTTGAAGCATATTAGCCACATATTCAAAACCTTCATGGATTAAAATTTCGTCAACCTTATCTGTAACTTCTTTGGTGAAATTCGATTTTCTAAGATTGTCAACTTCTTGGGGGAACTGTAAGGGATATTTGTTTATTTTCAGATTATTTGATTAAATGTTGTAATGTATTTCAAATATTTACCTCTTTTTGAAATAACATTGATGCGGCATGATATTTACCCAATTTGTTCATAACCAATTGAGCGTGGACTTCATTTAATCCCTGGACACGATCAGCACAAACATAACCCAGCGTATTTAGGTTTTCCAGAACATAAAATTCACGATTTTCTTTGCTTTCTGTTAAAAAACATCTGAAAATGGAAATTGCCGAGAATATAATCAGCCGGGATATATTTTCACATCTTTTGCTAATATCTCTCGCTCTTTGTAATACATTTACATTCTCAGAATCAAAATATCATAATAACTTTCAGAGTGCAAAATTCATAAAAAAATCCACAATGAAAGAATGTTGAAGGTGTCAAAATTAGTTGGCAAGTCTTTAAAATCAACGAAGTTCGCATTTATGGTTACAGGACGTTCGTATTCATGGTTAAGTACTAGAAAATAGGGGAAGAGATCGCCAATATTTTTCACTCTCTTCAATTTCCCTAAGTTTTACTAGTTTTCAATGTAAAGAAACACTTTTCTGGCAATAATTAGTAGCACAACTGTGAAGCCAGTTCAGGAACACGACTATGAATTATTAATAATACGTTTACATTATACTGGATTAAGTTAACCCAATAAGTTTTAAATTGGCAATTGTATTGCATATATGTCTTACTTACTTGGCAAACAATTTCTCAGTATCTCTAGCCTCCGCAGGCTTTAAATATTTCTCCATAAGTGGCAACACTTGTGTCAACATTGCCGGTTCGTTTGTTCTATTCTTCGATATTTCTGGTATCATAATTTTTACTATAAATGAACTCTGCATGCTATTGCCATTCATTTCCCACACAACATCCGCTACATAGATGTTACTGCAAAAATTCTCACCATTCGCCAATACATTCTTAAAGTTGCATGCTTTTATTTCAATACAGTCTGCAGTTAATTGATAAGCTTTCAGCAAAGCACACACGATAAGATCGTCGTTGAGAAGTTTAGGTATTGGAGGCGTTGACATTTTTGAAGACAAATGAAGTAAATAATTGATTTCCCGTTATTGCAACATTAGTACTGGCCGATCTAGTTATAACTGATAACTATAAATTACACCGAGAGTTATTTAAAGAAAAGAGTTGTCATTTTATATTTTTTTTTTAAATTGCTTACTATTGTGAAATACACAAATAAAGAGTAGCTTTTGCTTGTGGCACTAGCTTTGTTCCAGTAATATAGTAAAAATGTCTGGCAATACTCAGAAAAGCTATAATAATGGGTCTGTATCATGGCACAATAATTAGGTAGCCCATTTAGCGCAGCTGATGACTCGATTAACTGTGAAATATTATAAGGAAAAATTTGACAGATGGTGGAGAAAAAAAAACAAAGGTGATGTATCACAACAACAACCTTTGTTTTCGTCTCGATTATATGTCAAATTATTCCTTATAATATTTCACACTGCCCATCGAATTCAAGTATAAATTACACACTTTGACAGTTAATCGAGAAATCAGCTGCTCTAAATGGACTTCATTGTGCCATGGTTGTTACCATAATAAAAGAAAGTAAATAGAAAGTCCAGTTGACTATTCGAGTCAAAGTGGTTGGCAACATTGCACATCGAATTCAAGTAGAAACTATACACTTTGACAGTTAATCGAATCGTCAGCTGCGCTAAATAGACTACCAATTTATTGTGCCATGGTAAGAACTGTTAATGGATGTGAGAGAACAAATATTGACAGAAATGTTGATAAACGGCTGATCTCCTTGGGCAACCTTAATATTAGTCCTTATATTATACCAAATATAATGACAGTGCCTGGTAAATATATAAATGGTGAATAAATCGAATAGACTATTTATATTTGTATTTTTCTGGCAAATCTCATTCATCATTTAATATACAAATTTCTTCAAAATATTTCAAAGTATATAACAAATGCTCTTTAACCCGTTTATTGGCATACATGGGTATACGCATTTTGGACATTTTCTCGGGATTTTCAAATGTTTCCAATGTAAAATCTTTCGAAGAGTGTTTATCCAAGGCGATTATCGGCAATTCACATAGCGATGCATATAAGGCTATTAAATCGCAGCGTTTAACTTCAGACAGAACATCGGTAAAACTGGGTACATTATCATAATTATTGTCCAATAAAGCTTTTCTCAATGCATCGTAGTAGGACTGCAACAAAGCCTCCTTTTTATCCTTCAAAATTGGCAATTCCAAACTGGTATAGAGGAAATAATTTAAATCAAAACCACAACTACCCAAAAAAGAGTTTTGGAAGTCGACCTGTAACGAGAAAAGATTTTAATATAATTCCGCTGATCGTTTAGTAATGATGAACTTACAAAGACAAGATCTATTGGCTCTTGAGAATCTAGGTCATACTTAAAAAGCATATTGTTAACCCACAGATCGCCATGGGTAATAACCGTGAAACAACTCTTGCTGGGATCCACTACTTCCTTTACCAAATCATTAAATCTGTTTTTAATGCTACGCAACTTCGGAGCTATGTGTTCATAACCCCGCCAGTTTTCAACCATATTCGCAACATATTCAAAACCTCCAAAGGTAATTGCTTCGGCCACAACATCTGCTGCTCCCTTGGCAAAGTGGGATTTGTCAAGTTTATCGACTACATCGGGAAACTATAAAGATCAGGTTTTGATAAGGTTATTGTGGTAATGGTTTTGGAAAACATACCTCTGTTTGATATAACATTGAGGCTGCATGATATTTAGCAATTTTTTGCATCACCAAATGACCATGGGCTTCATTCAAACCTTTGACACGATCAGCACAAGCATAACCCAGTGTATTTAAATTCTCCAAAATGTAAAATTCATTATTTCCTTGGCGTTCAGTTAGGAAGCATCTGAAATTTAATGGAGTTAGAAACATATAATTATTAAAAAAATAATGCAATTTCCCTAACTCACTTGGCGAATAATTTCTCCCCTCCCTTCCCCTCGGCAACATTTAAATACTTTTCCATAACGGGCAATACTTTTGTGAACATCAGCTGTTCATTTGTACCCACCTCGGCTATTTCAGGTATCATAATTTTTACAATCAATGACATTTGCATGGCATTGCCATTCATTTCATATGTAACTTCCGTCACATAGATGTCACTGCAAAAGTTCTCACCATTTGCTGATGAAGTCATAAAATCACAAGCTTTTATATCAATACATTCTGAACTTAGTTTATGAGCTTCACACAAAGCACGCAATATAAGAGCTTTATTAAGAATTTTCGGAATTGTAGGTGTGGACATTTTAAGCGGGAAAGGGAACACAGAAGCGAATACAATATAACGTCACCCGATAATAGAACTTTATTGAAGGGCGATTAAGCTACAACTGAAATATAGATTACACTAGAAACGTTATCTAAAAAGAGAGTTGCCATGTTTCATGATATGTGAAACATATGATAGTGAAATACAAATGTCTACATTTTTAGCTGTTTTTAAAACACAGCTGGTAAAAGATCAAAATTTCCAAAATCTCATGAGACAAATCGACTTGCAAAATTCAGATATTCAGATTTCCCCCCTTTTCTAATAATTTTTACAGTGTTCATTGCAAAATCCCAACGCAACTGCAAAACACACAAAATATTTGCAAATTTTTGGAAACATTCGAAAATCTCGATTTCAAAAAATTAAAAACTAAACTTAAAGAACTTGTTGAATTGCATTTACGTCCCCATATTGAATTGAATATCAAACTTCAATATAGCATAAATGCATGGCAAAAACGTCATCAGGAACATGAGAAACGCAAATTTATGGAGTTGCAAAGAAAAGGACTTTATCATGCAATGCTTAAACATCGGTTGTATCCTAAATATTTTGAATTCCGCACACGCTATGATTATCACGTGCGGTATGTTGACTTTTTCGAATTTGTACAATCGAAATGCCAAAATCAAGAAGTCAAGCGAGCAGAGGTATATAGGAATTCAAATTCCAAAATAAGTTGTCAATATCCGAAATCGAAACGAGCCAAATCACAGTGTAAATATGGAACATATGATGAGCCGTAAAACTTCAATTACAAAAATTCAATGGAATTGGAAATGTTATAAATTTCTTTTATTAAAATTCGGAAATCTTGCTTTAACAATTAGATTTTCCTATTTTATTTTATAATATTTTTATATATTTATATTTTTTGTTATCTCGGACAATAATCATTTTTCGATAATTGAACAATCGATATTTCTGGCATCACTGTTGAACATACTGGCAACCCTCTCACTGTGTGTGTGCTTCATTTGCAATCAGCTGTTTTTGATGAAACTTTTGAACCCTATTCCTTGTGTCGGCTTTTTTGTTTTTATCTTGATTTTTATTGACGATTCTTTTTCATCACTATTTCAACGGCGTCTCATCTTTGCCTGCAGTCCACTGTAATCCGAAAAGAAAGCGGAAAACGTGTATTTCGTCGTCTCTGGACTCTGCAAAAACGTTGTTTTAATAGTGATTTATTAATACGAGGAAATTACACTAAAATTATAATAGACTGGAACGAAAATAAACGAATTTTTAGAATACCATTAAATATTATATCTACAAAGCGCACAAAACAATCTAAAAATAGTTAACCCTATGTCCACAAGTAATGATAAACAGCCTGCCACAAAAATGCCAGCTGTCAATGCGGTTGCTGTTACTCCTGCCGAGGGGAATGTCAAACGTGAGCCCAGCTCACCAATAGTGAATGGAACAACTAAATTATCTTCGCTGACACCGGCCAGGGACTTGACACTCGGCGGCCGGGGAAGTGCCACAGCAGCCAAGAAAGTATTTCTGCCAAATCTCAATGTGGTTAGAAATAAAAATACGTAAGTTTGGAAATACCCGCCATACCTCCATCCATACTCTCATAGTTGAACTTTTGTTGTGTTCTTTAGCAATGTTAAAACCTCTAAAGATACCACACAGATGCGTGGACGTGGCCGGGGGCGTGGTGCAGAAAGAGGTGCTGGCAGAGGAGGAAGTCGTGGCGGACGAGGTGGAGCCTCAAATTTAATACAGACTGCTGGTGTCTTCTCAGAAGGTGCTGGTGCCGTAAATATACGCAAAACAATTAGCTCATCTGGCTACTCCAGAGATGTGGATGACTCACCATCGGCTATGCGTAAACCCACCATATTTAAGAGCGAAAAGAAAATGGACCTAAAGGCTGAATTAGCCAGAGATAAAGATATCCTGAGAGGCCTAGACGATGATGAGGAAGAAGATGATGAACAAAAGACTGATTTGGATAGAATTCCTGTACTGTTGAATGAAGGTAAGTGAAGGACTAGGATAGGATTCTCAAGGGAACAACGTCCAAGCAATATGGTTTAACACCCCCATGGACCATAGATGTTGGCAATATATCCCACATTAGTTGAGGTGTTCAAAGGAGGACTTCACTCCATGATGACGAAGACCCTTCAAAATGAACAGTCACTTTCCAATAAATGAAATGTACTCATTTAATACCCTTCATCCCCTTTTTGAACTTACCCAATATCCTCTTGTTTGAATTACCCCCAAACTAAAGCCAAATGGAAGTACATAAAACCAGAAATCAAAACTGAAGTCCCTGACACCCAAACACCCCTAGCAAGTGAAGGTAATTTATGGATAAATTATAACCACCCACAATTATTTCTATAAATATTTTGGATATTATCACAATTACTAATATTCTCAATTTATTCAACAGACGCTGTGGCCATAGCTTCACAAATCCAATCAATGCACGTTGCTCAGCAACAAAATCGCCCATTGCCTCGTTATCCTCAGTCATTAGAGGAGCTATTGAATAATTCAACAGATTCGAAAATATTCCTAATGCAGGTAAGTCGAAATTAAACGAAAGCAATATCAATTACATTTCTAATTTAATTAAAAATTTCTTACAGCTGCCGGACACATTACCATGTGTGGATGATGACAATGATTCGCCAGAGACCTCAAAATCGAATAGTGAAGATGCCAAAACTGCTGCACCCGCCGTTGAGAATCAGAAAAAAACCATCAAGGAACATATTCTCAAGAAAATGGAAGAGGGACAAGTGGGGCGTTTGATACGCTATAAATCCGGCAAAACAAAATTAGTTTTAGGAGAAACACAATTTGACTTGGACATTGGCATGGAAACTGGTTTTCTACAGGTAAATGCCAAAGACCCACAATACTTCTTAAATCTAATTTATTATTTTCGTTTGCAGGATTTAATGTCAATTAGCTGTAATCGTGAGGAGCGTAGCGGTAATATGATTAATTTAGGACCCATACAAGCCAAAATCACAGCCACCCCCGATTGGGAAGATTTACTAAAACAGCCTCTGTCCGAAGGTAAACTGTAGCACATGCTTCCTGTATGTTCTTCTCCTCCTCCTCCTTCACCTCTACTTTCCGACATTATTGTTAGTTTCCTTAAACAATTGGTCGTGTATATAAAAAATGAAAGAAAAACAAGTTTTTGTAATGCGTATTGTTGTTGGTCTTTCTCTGGATTTATTCTGCATTTTTTCACATCATCTTCAAAAGAAACAAAACAAATTATATTAGCTACGTTAGAAACTCCACTGATATAACAATAAAAAAATACAGCTGAGACTTAAAAATAAAAATTTAGTTTTGGGCTTCCAGGCGTTCTTCTGTCGACTCTAAGAGGTTTTGATTGCCACCACCCGATGTGTTGCCGGGAGTTGTTGAACGTCCATGATACAGATTTCCTTGCAAATCGATAGAGAAGTTGTAATCGATGGGATTGGCCAAAGCCTGTTCGATGGCCGCATCCAGATTTTCTCGTGTAATGAATGTTTTGGAAAGTTCCTAGGGGAGGCAATAAAAACATTTTAGTAATTCCTTAAATAATTGTGATGTTTTATGGGTTACCTTTTCTTTTCTCACTAATGCTTCGATCTTTTCCATTCGTTCTTCTTCCCTCTCTTCGGCCAAGCGTAATCTTTCTTGAACATATTGTTGCTTTTCTTGGTGTTCCCTGGCCAAACGTTGTTCGCGCAACAGGGCCACTTCTCTATTCCATTTCTCATTCTCCTGTAGGCAACGTTGGAATTCTGCCTCTTCCTGTTCGGCGGTCAAAACGAAATGATCAGCTGTAGAAGTTTCCGCAATCCGTTGATTCTCCTCTCTCAAATACTGTCTTACGGAACGTAATTGTGTTCTAAAAGAGATAAAAAAGGGAATTATAGAATCGAATGGGATGGAAGAGGCAAAGCGATATACTTGTAATTATTGTGAAGACGTAAAAGTTCGGCCTTTTCTTCGGGCGACTGTTGTTTTCTCTCAGGCACACGAAACAATTTACTTTTGGCTGTGGGCAACCAACGGGGCTTGCGTCTCCAGCGAACAAATTCCAATGAAAATCCCGAACTGCCAACTTTACTTTCGGTGGCGGTTAGGCGGCTCAATATTCCCGACGAAGCTCGCAACATTTTGGACTACCGGGGAATTGTTTTATTTCATAAATCCAAAATTATAAAAAGCCGAACCGCACGTTGAAAAGAGTTTGACAATGTTACGCGATTTGTATTAGAGATGGTAAAATAAATCGATGTCACTATAAATTTTTATCGATAATCGATTGTAGTTTATATTATCGATTATTTATAAATTATGTATAAAATTCTAACCGTTAAAAAAACCAGGATTTAAATGGATTTTTATTCAAATTCTGAGTGGCTATTTGTTTCTAAGAGGTCTTAAGAAAGTATTCTATTTTTACCTAAAGTAGATAAAAGCGGCCGCCTCCGATATCTTCTCTCTTTGAATTCAACCAACAAATTTTCTTTTGAAAATACATATTCCAAGCCTTCTTCTGGACAGTCTCTCTATGAGGTGTTTCATCTTCAAAATGCGTCAAAAAAGTCCTAGAAGAAATTTGATCGTTAACTTATCTGTAGAATGCCTCTTAAAATATCCTATGTTCTATTATGAAGCTTTATAAAAATGTTTAATTCTCAATACCTTTCACCTTTACAGATATTCTAAGAACTATTCCAATTTCTATTGTGTCCACTTCAAATATTGAAAATAAATACATAACATAGATTTATTTTAAGAAACAATTTAGTTTTTTTGTAATATTATTTTAATTTTGAACAAATTTGAATATCTAAATCTAATATTACGACATAGACACCGATCAAATATTTATAATTTCAATACAATTAAAAAAAGAAATTTAGAATTAGTTAAAAAATGATTAAAATTAACTCACACTCAAATAAAAATAGCAAAGAAATAATTTCAAATATTTTTTTTTTAATATCAATATTCCTTTATATATATTTTTTTATATACAACAATCTTACATTTGTTAATTTTTAATGTGTGAATTTATTTTTAAATTCGTTAAAAATATGATTGATATTTTCTTTTCTTCTTCATAGTCTTACACTAAAACGCACACACAAATATTATTAAAACAACAATTACATATAAAATAAATCAATACAAACATTATTCACTTATAGACTAGTCGAAATATATAGATGTAGGCAAACTACTATTTCTTATACATAATTATATATCTCATTTGTTTTTCGAAAATAAATACGTATATATTTATTGAGTGTCATTTGATTCCAGGGATTTACTGAAGGAGGGCGATTCTCGTGTCAACGGTGTGCCAGGTGCTGACGATGAACCCGACGAGCAATAAAAACACGATGAACTATGCGAACAAACTGATGATAAACGTTTGCGTTGCAAATCCGAGTTTGACGATGAACGGCGCACAGTTTTCAAGGATAAATCTTCAGCACTTTCATGTACATGCCGATGCTTGGGATTCGAACAATTATTGAGGAAATCATTAACCTGTCGCTGGTAACGTATTTGATTTTTTAACATTGTAACATTGTTGGTCGTTTGACTTTGATAAGATTTACGCAAGATACAACTGGTCAATAGGAAGGGTATAGCTAAAATTGCCAACAGACCAAAGAGCAATATGAGCATTACATCCATTAGTATTGAACTCCAGAAATTCAAATGATGAGAATGGGTTTTTAAATAATTCAGGCCTTTGGTATTGAGAGTCATTTCAATTGCATTCAAAACTTTATCCATTGGTTTAAGGCCCAACAAATCATTGGTGAGTTGTGACTTTAACATGGACAATGATTCGTGATATTTCTTCGAGTTTGTCAAAGTTTCATTTATAGCAAACAAAAGTTCATCATAGGATAATTCGTTATAATTTAAGATAAAGGCTGAGCCTTGATCTTGTAGATTTCTGGCCAAAACATGTTGTTCTGGTGTTATGGGTATTGCCAAAATGGGTTTTACAAAGTTAATCGCTTCCGTTACACTCATAAAACCACAGGAACTTATGAATAGTTTTACATTATTGTGGGCTGAAAGAAGAAATGTTTTAATGTAATTATTAATAAAATTAAATTTAGTTTAAATACTTACCCAATATTGCTTGTTGGGGCCACCAATTTTGTACCATAACTTTACTGCTTACATTTAGGGTCATTTCCAATGGCTCATCTTCATCGTATTTGACAATAAAACGCATGTCAGGCAGTGTTTCAAAGACATCTAAAAATAACTCTATTTTCTCCTGGGGAAAATCATAAACATTGGCTCCAAAGCTAATGTAGACAACACCTTGTGGAGCTTCTTCTATGAATTCCTTTAAATGCTGTAAATGGAAACCATTAAGCTCAAATTATCAGTTATTGTTTCCTATACAATACTTACTGTAGGCAAAATAAGTTCTTTGTCATTTCCACTCTTGATATGGACTCCGGCTACGGTTAACATATTGGGTAAAAATGCTCGAGGATATTGTAGAGTAGGATGTGTATTAATTAAAGCTAAAGAGAGATTTTGTATGAGGTCTTTGTGGTCGGGCAATACATTACACCAGTCTGCATTTTGGCATAGAGGTTCAAAGTGTTTTGTGTAGACAACTTGCTGAGAGATCATGTGGAAAAAGGAGTAGGTTAGCTTCTCAAACATAACCATTAGCGTATTAACACTACGCTGCCACAAGTTCATGTGTTTTGAGTAAGCCAGAAAGTTGCTGGGGTCCAAGGCGGCATTTTGGGAATTGCCGAAACGTTGATTGAGCCAAGTGTTGGAGCCACTTGGACTCAAAACTACAGTGGGTATTTGATAGAAAAATGATAATCTGTAGGAAAAATGAAATAATCGGTTAATTTGTTATGTAAATATTTGTATTCCACTTACCCCATTAATGCATCACTTAAAAATAGATCAACAACTAGCAAATCGAATTGCTGTTGTGAGTGTAGTAATTCACGCACTTTTGGACTTTGTAACAGTGCATCGGTATTACTGGTGGTGGCATACATCAGCCGTGTAAAATGTTCCATAACAGATTTACTGTACATTTCTTCAATGTCAAAGCTTAGTCCCATTTCCGACCAATTCTCCAATAAACCATCAACCTGGATTTCCTTAAATCTTGGATCCATCAGTTCGCCGGAACTTCTCTCACGACCACCACCTTTGTAGGGGCTCACTAAAGTAACTGAGTAATTTCTTTGTTGGACCATTTGCTCGAGCAAATGATAACCAAATAAGTAATGTGACTTCCAAACACTTGGCAAGACTGCAAGTACATGAGTTCCCTGGCATTGTGGCAGGGAACTTAGTACAAGACTCAAAATCAAGCAACATCCTTTCAAGAACTCCTCGAGTTTCAACATTTTGTATGTGTGTGAGTGTAAATATTCAGTCTTATTTTAGGTGTTCATATCTGTCTGTATGTAGTAGATGTGGACCAATGTCGTTGTGATGTAGGTGTTGGCTGGCTGTTTGTGTTGTTAAGCAAGTTTTCCCATGCCCTCCTCGTTTTGTTCCCAAAAGATACGTGGTCAAATCCTGTTTGGTTACTTTTGATTTTCTTTTTAGTTTCGCGATAACGCCTTTCTTTGGTGGATTTCGTATTGAAATGCTTTGGATTTACATAACGCTGGTTTATGCAAATTAGTTGTATAATAAAAAAATAAATATTTAATTGGTTTAGGTAGCTAATTAATGCGTATTTTTCTTAGTTTTTGCCGATTTTTTTGCAAATTGCAAAATAAACCAATGACAGATAGTAAACAAAGTAGGGATGTGTAAGTCGACTATCGACTAATCGATTTATCGGCTGGTAAACAAGCGACACCTACGAAACCCTTATCACTGGCAGACACACAGCTGGTAGTTTGTTACAGTATGAGGCCGTGAAATTGAAACGGTTGCTAATAATATTCAATATTAGAATATATTAAATATCACTGATGCTGAATTTTTATATTCAAATATTTGTTTTAATTAAATATCATTTCATTTTTATCATAGGTGTCTATTATAGTAATTAATAATAATGTGTTTTTATTTATTTTTAAAAAAAGGAAGAGGTGTATTTATAGTTTTTGTCGACACTGTAATCATATGGTGCAATTGGAGAGTGCGCGAAAAATTCGTTGTCTGGTCAATACAAAACAATTGAATGAAATTTTACATTCACACCGGAAAAACGGGAGCACACAAATCCAAGCGGTGAGTTTCTTAGAATTGTTTTTAGTTATTTTTTGTTAATATTGTGGGAATAAATAGCTAACAAAAAAATAATTATTAAAGTTGATTATTTCATTTGAATTTATTCTAAAGAAGTGCAACAACAACAACAGCAGCTAAAAACGAAAGTGATTTGTTGGAACGCATCCAAATCAAACTTTATCATGATTGTTTCGAAATTTTGTTGTGGCATCTTCGCTTTCATTGATTTTTGCACAGGTCAATACTAACGAAAAAAAAATGTAAGACAAATCAGAACATGTTTTGTTCTTTTTATAGTTTAAAACAAAACGAAGCAAAAACAGGTGTTAATTGTATTTGTTTGGGGCAGATGGGGTTCTATTGCTGTTGTTTATTGTGCAAGTACTGCTTATATTTGAATATTAATTTATTTTTATTTTCTTTTTCTAATTTGTTAGTGTTTTACTTTGGTGACCGGACATACCCCCTTTTTGTGTTTGTATTTCTAAAATTGCTGTGTTGTGCCGTACAGGGGATACAAACAACGCAAGAAAAGCCGTGCAATTGGTCGTTTTGTCGCATTAGCACCGTAATAATTTCCAACATTGCTGCTAGAGTTCACAACAATTTGCCAACAATAAAACTTACGTAATTGTCCATGTCCAAGAACGAAAGCTATAAAATGCAAGGTAAGTATTCTAAATTTTTTTACAGCATTTTAATAGTCCTTTGCTAATGTCTCCACCATCCTTGTTTCCCTTTATAGCATTAGCCCAACGAATTGATGTGGACAAGCCTCTTTATGACTTGTCCACTTTTAAAGGACGTTTCCAGCATTTTGCCTGGATGACAGATCCAAGAACTGTCATTGTTTCCAGTGATCGTCTACTGCAAGCCAAGAGTCTAGTTGATGCCTATCGCAGAGGTGATGCCATTGACACAACTCCCGACAAAGTGAAATATGCCATGAAATTATATAATTCAGCTTTTCATCCTGATACCGGTGAATTGCAGAATTTCTGTGGCCGCATGAGTTTCCAAGTAAGCAAAACAGTTTATGAATTTACATTGTAATTCAATTAACCAACGTCATTGTTGATTCATTTGGGTATGAACAGAACCGAAAACATCCTCATTAATTGGGCAAACCTAGCACACATATTGTGTGTTGCAACGAAGATCATGATGATGATGGTGTGGGGCACGTTTAGAAGTCGCGTGATTCAAAGAAAAAAATAATAAATCTAGCAAAGATCTAAACGAACAGATGTTCACTATCTTTCATGTAAATGCTAGATTTTGAATGATTGCCAAAAAACAGACAACAACAAACTCATTAGAATTAAGTAATTCAAAATTTATTGCAACTAAAGCACGAGATTTTATTTTTCTGTTGCCATGTTATAGGTGCCTGGCGGTATGCTTATCACTGGTGGTATGTTGGCATTTTATCGCACCGTACCCGCTGTTGTCCTGTGGCAATTCATAAATCAATCGTTCAATGCTGTTGTCAATTACACCAACAGAAATGCCAATTCACCAACTACGGTGACTCAGTTGGGTGTTTCTTATGTCTCGGCCACCAGTTCAGCTCTAATTGCAGCCATTGGTCTTAAAAATTATTGGACAAAGAAGGCAACTCCAATATTCCAGGTGAGATTAAAATTAATAAAATATATTATTTGAAATGCCCTAAACAATCTGTTTCTTTACTCTTAGCGTTTTGTACCCTTCGCTGCTGTGGCTGCTGCAAATTGTGTCAACATCCCTCTAATGCGTCAAAATGAAATTATCAACGGCATTGAGGTGAAAGATGAAAATGGCAATGTTGTGGGCAAAAGTCGTACGGCTGCTGTCAAGGGTATTAGCCAAGTTGTCTTCTCACGAATTACAATGGCAGCACCCGGCATGTTAATACTGCCCTTCATTATGGAACGAGTTGAAAAGTTCCCTATTTATAAACGAATGCAGTGGATTAATGCACCTTTCCAGACAGCTTTGGTTGGATGTTTGTAAGTACAGAATTTTATATGCATATATTCTATTCTTTTTTACAATGCTTATCATTTATTTTGTACTCACAAAAGCTCATACCACAATCATGACAATCTTTAATTGTCTATTTACAATGCTTATCGCCATTTCTTTCTAAAAAGTATTTCGTTATATCAAGTTTGAAAGTTTTACAAATGTTGAGGTACTTTCATTGAAAAAGTAAAGAATAGGAATTGAAATTGGTGCATTTATTAAAAAAATGTTAGATGTGAAAGAAGCACCCGAAGAACAACAACAACGAAGGGTAACAAATTATGCCATATAAAAGCTCCTTTGCGAACTGATAATAGATTTTGAACAGTAGTTAAAATTGAAAATATTTATTTGCCATTCAAACGATCATTTTGAACCTCTTTTTTATATATTTGACAAGGACAGTTGTAATAAAGACACAAGCTGTTGCAAATGACCGCCATCAATTAATGTTCAGGGTTTCGGCTCGTATTAAAATTCTTTAATAAATGTTTACTATACCAAGGATAAAATGTATTGCACCAATATCTTTGCGACCATTAGACAATTATGGAAACTTATGAAGATCAATTGCGAATTGGAACTATAGTATATTTTTCGTACTGATTTTATAACAACAATCATAATGTATAATTGTATAATGTGAAATTAATAGAAAATAACTTAAAGCAATAAAAAATTGAATGGCATTCGATTTTTAAATTGGAATAATATAAGGAAGAAGTATAAAAATTGACATGATCGAAATTGATTAGAATATAAATGAAGCTTAACTCTTGAGAATAATCCTTATTTAAGTTCCTCCTTATTTATCATTTCACTTTAATATTTTCCTTTTATGCATTATCATTTCATCACATTTAATATTTTCATTTTATGCATTATCATTTCATCACATTCCCAGCTTCACTTTTCGCATGAAAATAGTTTAAAGAACTAGTTAAATATTTAACAATTTTAAAATATATTTTAGCTTACTGTTTATGGTGCCAACTGCGTGTGCCCTATTTCCCCAAACTTGGTATGTACTGCCCAATAACTTTTTTTTTCAAAACAGGCATTAATTAGTTTTTATTACCTCTAGTTCTTTGAACACATCGACCATTAAACGCCTTGAACCGGAATTCTATGAGGAAATGTTAGAAAATACCAAAGGAAATGTTCCTGCCAAGGTATACTTTAACAAAGGTCTCTAAAACAAACTGCCACTGGCCCTTAACAACTACGAACAATGACAATACTTTACTAAATGGTAGCAGCTCCTAGCTAGGGAATGTTGTCCTTAGATAAACGCATTTAAATTTAAACCTGTTTTCTAATGTATTTATGTTCCAAAGACTTACGCTTTAAGTTTTATGCTTTAGGTTTACGGATATACTGTGTTTCAATGTTGACAGTATTTTTTAAGTGTTTTATGTTTTCGAATTTATATAAAAATATTCGGCACCAAATATGTTCAAAATTCACGTTTTTTCGGTTTCGATAAAAGCAATAAAAAATTGTTCTCTGTCCATTGTGTATAAATAAGAATTTCATTGACGCTTTTAAAGGAAAAGACGACGTAAGCAAAATTGTTTTCAAAAAATCTCTTTTTATTTTTTTTTATATTTCATTATCTTTTACAAATTTACTAATGTGCAAAATTTATTTTTAAATATGCATTTTGCTTTGTTTTTTTTTCTTTTTAATTTGGCATTTTGTATTTTTTTTTTTTTTTTGTTTAAAAACGTTTGTTTCTTTTATTCAAAATATTTGTCCTGGTTTCATCAAGGGTTTGTCTCATTTGTGGATGTGGGGTTTTGGTTTTGGTTTTATTTAAAAAGTTTTCTTCTTAACATCAACATTTTGTTTATGTATTTTAAAAACAATTATGATTTCTTTTTTTGTTTTGTTTTTGGTTATGGATTACACAAAATTTGTCTTGATTAAAAATCTTCTCAAACTCGTTGATCATCTAAAAAACAAACATTTAGCAATTCATACACATACACCAAAAACCCGTTAATGTTTAATTTTTCTGATTTCATATTCAAATCTAAAAAACGTACCCAATTTTTACTCTAGCCTATTCAAAGGTTTTCCTGCAGGAATTTATTTTATTATTTTGTAACCATTTACCATCAAGTAAATGATGTTTTTGAAAAAATAATAATAACCATACATACATTGCAGTTTCTGTTTTTAGTTTTTTCACTTTGTTTGACTTACATATTTAGATAGAGGTGGTATTTGACATTTGCCTTTGAGAGACATGTGTTCACATGTGGATCTCAGGTTTTGTGGTTTATTTCCATTGTTTTGTATGAAATGTTATTTTCTTTGTTCAGGTTTTTTGTTGGTTTTCTGGTTTGCATCTACATATTTTACACAGCCTTTCTTAAAAAAATATAAATTTATTTTTTTTTATTTGTTTGTTTGTTCTAACGCCCTGATGGTACTTTGTACAAATTCCAAATTTTCACTTTCTGCTTAAAAATTGATTTCCATTTATTTTAATTTGCTATTTGAAAATTTGCACAACTGAATTTCAAATTTCAAAAAACCTTCGTTGCTTATTAATCTCATGAGGAGGAGGTTTTACATTGTTTTGATTTCGTACTAAACTGGTAATATTTTATAAAGGATATTGAATACAATTAAACCGATATAATATATATATAGCGTTGAAGTCATGTTCAGTATTCTGAGTACAATGCCAACATCAATCCATTTTAAAAATCAAGGTAATATTTTAAACTAAATATTAACCCATAAGTGTATGAAGTCAAATTGTATCGAACGATATGATTCACGAGTGGTAATAATATCGTTCGATACCATTTCGATAAATTTAAAGTTTTTGTCATATATTAAAAAGAAAACATAATCTTTCCCATATACCCCATATATTATCCGAATATTTTAATAGTATTTTTGAGGACGGATCAAGAATTCCATGACCTTTCCAACATCCAATGTAGTTCAATGAGATTCAACTCGGTCCCCAATATGTACCATCTTTACCGGGTTCAGAATGTGATTAGGATCTTCTAATCTTTCACATCTATTTCATAACTCCAAAATATTAATATAAAATCCTCTAAAAAATCCTATTTTATTTAAAAGATACATGAATTGTTGGACTTATATATTGAGCTCAACGGAAACTATGTTCAAAAGGACGTTATAGAATTATTGACCTAATCCATACTGCTTGCACAAATAATACCCACTGTACGTATAATCTGAACTATCCTCACTCGGATTTAGAATATATTTTTTTATAAACCCTTCTGCCGTATTAATATTCCCAATTTTAAAGTTATTTTTTTCTTTGTTGAAAGGAGTTTCTTTTTTCATTTGTAGAATATTAAGTCAATGTTTCCTTTATATATTTTACCCATAAAAAAAAACTTGGCGATTATGAATACAGTTCGCGGCTAATGACAATAGTTAAAAAATTTGGAACTCTTTATCGATGACGGTTAAAAAAAATATTTTAAAAAATGTTCGTTTTGATTCAAAATATACAGTTTATTATTTTTTGTTTTGTTTAATAAATTTTCAGGTTTCAATGATTAATATTTCATAAAAAATTAGTAATTCTTTTTAATATTTTGCTTTTAATTTTTGTGGTTGTTGTTTTTAAATATATATATGTATGGACTATTACATGGTTTTTGTTTTGTTTTTTCTCAATACTTGTGTATAAATTACAATATTCTTTTTCATGTTGTTGTAATAACTTGGTTTAGGGTTTCTTTAGTTAAATAATAATGATAACTAACATTATTATTATTAATATAAATGGCTTATTATAGTATATAATACGTATGTACGTTGTACATACATAAGTTTATTATTAAATATTTTTTGTGTGTTTTGCTTTTCGAAAAACATTTCAAAATGTTTTACAAGTTAGAATGTGTTTTCAGGGTAGGAGGGGTGGTGGTTTGTTGGTTTTATGTTTTTTTTACTTAAAATTAAATACATTTTAATAACAATTTAACACATGGGTGTTTACTTTTTTGTTTTGTTTTTGTTTCTTCAAGAATACAACTCAACTATATGTATGTGGCAGAGGTTTTTTTTTTGTTTGTTTTTCCTCTATAATGGAAACTTAATAAACCCAAATATATATTCTCAGGTGTGTAATACAATAATATACAATTATTTTTAATAATAAAAAATAGGATCTTAAACTTTTGGTTAAACAATAGATTAGGATTAAAGGAAGAGTTGGGGGGAGGGAGACAAAAAAATGTGTGCTGTGGCAGACTAAATCGAGTAGGAAAAGGTTTTGTACGTCCTGGTTGTTTTGTTTTACATTGCACTCACTCTTCGGCGCTGGGCTTCTTGTTGACCTCAACCACGGACACCGCTTCGATGGTGGTTGTGGTCGAAGTTGAGGAAGAGTTGGTGGAAGCCGGCGACATATTGTCGGCATTTAGCGACTGCAGCGGCTCATTTGTGGTGGGTGGCAGTACAAAACTTTTTCCTACAAGTTGATCTCATTTAAGTCCTGTATCCGATGACGGGGTCCATCGGTCAAATTCAATACCGGAATCGGGTGAAATTCCGGTAGCGGCTTTGGCCAACTGGGCTATATATCCGCCAGATTGTATGCACTTGCAATCTGTCGATATACAATTACAGGAAAATTTCGATGAACCACAGGGACCCATGGAGATGTCCGTGCTAATGACACTGACACCCACACCACTGCCACTTTGATCCATGGCCTCGTTGGTATTCAAACGTAGCTGACGTTCGAACGAATGCAGCTGTTCCATAAAATGGAAATTTGGCGATACATCCGGTTTCCGATCTCGTACCAGAGTAAAAGCATCATTGAGATTTAAAGCTTGCGTATGCATTAAGTAGGCCAACGTTACGGTAACAGAACGTGAAACGCCAGCCAGGCAGTGAACCAGCACGGCCGAATTTTTAGAACGAGCTTCCTCTGTAATGGAAGAAAATAACAATAACAAATGAATTGAAAAGTCAAATGGGAAACAAAGGCAGAAAATAACATAACAACAACAACACATACCAATGAATTGTATGGCAGAGGGAAAATGCATCGCCAAATCTTGGGAATAATGATCAGTTATGGGTATTTGTAGATATTGAATGCCGCCAGAAGCTTCGAAGACATTTGGAAGATCTTTAGTTACATTTAAAACGTACTGCAAAGAGAAATGAAATAAATTTGATTAGCAAAAGGGAAGCTTGTTTTATTGAAAGAGAACCGGAAAAGTTTCTCTATAGATAATTTTTTCCTTTTGAAATAATCTCTCTAAAGAATACATTTTCTACAGAAAACCGTTTCTACATTAGGGAGATTTTCTATAGTTTTTTTCTGTATTGTTCATTTGAAGGGATTTTCTATAGAAAATTTCTACTTCATTTGAAGGGATTTTCTATAGAAAATGTTTTCTTCATTAGAACGGATTTTCTATAGAAAATATTTTTTTCATTAGAAGTGATTTTCTATAGAAAATTTATTCTTCATTCTTTTCTATAGAAAATGTCTTCTTCATTACAAGGGATTTTCTATAGAAAATGTCTTCTTCATTAGAAGGAATTTTCTATAGAAAATGTCTCCTTCATTTTCTATAGAAAATTTCTTCTTCATTTGAAGGGATTTTCTATAGAAAATTTCTAGAAGTGATTTTTCATAGACATTTTTTTCTTTATTGGAAGAGATTTTTATAGAAAATTTCTTTTCATATTCTATTCAGTTTACGTTAAAATAAATTGTTTTAAAATTTTACTCACCTTTATATTGTATTTTTGTAGAGCTCTGGCATCATTACTATGCATGGCATTTCCTAAAAATAGATTCGGAATTATTTCAACCGGTGCCTCATTTAAGTTATGATGTGAGGTTCCTTCACAATCACTTGATTCGGCTGAGCTACTACAGGCCGAATCGGAATGTGGTGTGGATATACGTAGAGACCTAATTTAAATAAAGGAAAATAAAGGGATCGTTATTTGACTAGCTAATCTTAAACGAAATATATGCTCAAACTTACCTTAAACCCATCAATTGATCTGCCTGGGTGCTACGACTAGATTCCATTTCTTTGTTTTGTAGACTATCATCTTCACACCATTCCGGAAATGTTTGACGAAAACTGCAGAAACCATCTGTAACAAGAAAAAAGAAAGATGAACAAATGTGAGATATGGTTATGTAACAAGAGGCAATTTTTTGGTTTGTGTGTCAAGGTGGCACCCCGATGGTGTCTATTTCTATTTCCTTAAAATAAGGATTACAAAAATGTTGAATTTAAATTGTCTATATAGTTTGATGTGGGATTCAAATTAAGTAACCCCCACCTTCCCTTTTTTTCTCTTTCACTCACACACACACACACACACACACATGTGCAAACTTATTATAGAATTGCTTTTTGTAAACTTTTTGCTTCCCATATAACAACAATTCATGCGATACTGTGCATTTCTCTATTTAAAAGGTGACAAAGTCCATAAAGTACCAGCAGTAGCAGTGACAGCAGCCGTATAACAATACCCGCCTGCCTGCCTGGGCGTTTGCTACTCTGCTTTCATTCCAAATTTGTTTACTTAAAAGTTTCATATTTAGCGGATGTGAATGTTTTTTTTTTGTGTCCGCCTGCCTGCCTTTTTTCCATTCCATTCAATTGTAAATCATGTTTTTGTTGCTTCTACTGCCATTGCTGTTGCTGACATCATATATCGCATCGCTTCGTCGCATTCATTCAAACAAAACTGAAAATGACTACGATTGTAATGTTGTTCAGTTGTAAGCCGGGGAGAGGAGGGGAGAGATATGTACTGCAAACATTCATTCAGTTGGATAATGCATGCACATTTTTGCCATGTGCAGTGATGGATGGATAGAAGTGTGGACAAACGGATGGATGGGCGGACGGATGGATGGTCTGAAAGTACGTCTCCACTATATATGTACGTAGTGTAGGTATATATTGAAATATGATGCTCTGTTTGGTTTTGTTGCAAATTCATGAACAACAACAAGTAACACCAAACTAAGTATTTTCAATAGAAAATTAGAAACAAACAAATGACAGAATATTTGTTTTTTTTATTTGAATAACAGAGCCAACAAAGCGTAGGAATACCGCTTAGTTATCTGTTGTGGTATTTTCCATATAAGAATATTTATATTCTATACATATACATGGATGGAATAGAGATTACCAATTGAAAAAATATATTTTCTATAGAAAAATTTCAATTGGAAGGAACTGTAAGAACATTTTTTGTTTATGCAAAAAATCTCTACTTAATTCAAAAAACTTTTCTACCAAAAATAAGACACTTTTAAGAAAATCCTATTGAATAATCATTTTAAAGAAAAATCTTCGATTATCATCTGAATATAATTATGGTCAACCCTAATGACAAAATTTTTGTCGTTACTCATACTACCCAGAAGCAAGAGTTACGTTATACGACAAATATTACGTCCATTCATAAGCTTTACATGAATGATGCTGATGATGATGATAATGTGAACGAAACAAGTTTGTTTTGTTTATAAGAATAATGTATGATACAATTTTTGTTATTTGATTTTCACATTTTTAAATTTGGAATATAAATAATAACGACGACTACGACACAAACGAATACACCTTCTAACAGATGTTAGTGTATTTCTTTTGTATTTCATTGTTGTGATTATATAGAGGGATTGTGTGTGGGAAACTAGTTTCAAAAAAAAAAAAAAAAAAAAAAAAAACGAATGAAATAAATTTCAAAATTTACATAAAAACGTATGAATTAACCTCTGAAATCTTAATGTGGAAAAATAGTTTCTGCTTGAGTTGTTCTCTGACGTAGATAGTAATTCGTTTTGTTTATTCACTAATAAAGATATTAGTTGAAGGAAAATGAAACCAAAAGCTCTCATAGATCAGGGTGTTTTTTGTTTATAGCATCCACCATAAGATGGAGTATAATATTTATCATTTCGATAGCAAAAAAACTAAAAATATTTGAGATATAATTTTGAAATTTGGCCCAGAGGTTTGCTACTACTCATAGAATATTCGATATTGAAAATGAAATATATAGGACCACGTTTTTATATTGTCGGTATATAATTTTTTAATTTTTTTTACAGTTTTAGTCTCATTTTCTAATAGATGGAGGAGCTGTAATTTTGCAACTCCCGTTCCTGCTGGACAAAATAAATCTTTGCAGAATATATTCATTATAAGTGTAAGTTTTGAAATACATAGAAAAAGTCCCGCCTCATTTCACACATTTTTTTAGTTCCAGGTATATTTTCAAACGCAGGACAAACTTCTTGGTAAAAATTGTATCAATAAGTGCAGGACTTGATATTTCCCAATATAAAGAACTTGTAACATTTTCGGCCCTAACATGACATTTTAAAGCGATATTGCTGTAATTTAGCATTCCAGGTTCTTGTAGACCGAAAAACGTCTTCGTAAAAAGTAGTAGATTCTTGCAAAAGTAGATTCTTAGAAGACCACATAAAGCATTTGTATTGTTAATCACAATAAAATATATATCGATTTAGTCTGATCCCCCTGTCTATCTGTTGACCTTTTTATACAGATCACAATATTTAAGATAAAATGTTTGGTATTGAAAATAACATACATCGGTTCATTTTTTGGCATAGCCTCCATGAAGTACCCTCAAATATTTGGTATTTTGGGATGTTTTTCCCGTTTTGTAATATTTTATATAAAATTTCTTATTAGCTTTTAGGAGTGTGTCATCAAAAAAGTATTTTTTTATTTTGGAATCAAAATGTAAATTGTTTCTGTCTATTGGTAGAAGGCATTATGATTGATGATACCATGATTGGCGCTTCCATGAAATTCCAATGAATAAGCTGGGATAAAAATAAAATTAAATTGAAATTTTCCAAATAATTCAATGGAGATGTAATGGTGGCTAGAAGAAGTTCGATTGACAAGACTGATTAGAAAGATGTACAGCATTACAGAGAATTGGGAAATGACAAATAATTATATATTCCGAGTAGGGAAGAGGAATACCAGGAAAACTGAAAATCACCAGTCTGGTATTTTTTATGTTACACACACTCAAATTTTTGTAATGGAATTTAAAATCAAAACAATTTTATAATAATCTTCTTCATGAAGATAATGACGATGATTATGATGGGAAGGAAACATAAATAATGCTTAAGGTAAATTCTTTCACATGACATGATATGGTATCATAATAATGATGTTTCAATTTCCTTCTACTCCTCATCCTCCTCCTTCTGCTGCCGCTTCTGGTGATGGTATGAGAAATCATTCTAATTAGCTAATGAAACGATGTAGAACTTTTGCATGTTGCCGGGTATTAATAGTTTCTATTGCAAAACTGCAATAAATAAAAAGACGAAGAAGAAATAAAAATTCCAAGCCTGTTGCTCTATGGGAATTTTGTCTGTGTTGTACCCCACAAAGAAAAAAATGGGAGGCAAAAGGCAACAAATGTATTACATTGTGTGTGCTTGCAAGTAATTTCAGTTCAGTTTGGGATTGTTTTTTTTCCTCTGGGTTCTTCTTTTTTGCTGCCGCTGATTGCTATCTTTTGCAATTTAACTGGCTCGGTTGTAGTAGCTGCTGCTGCTGGGTTGTTTGTGTGTTTGTATCGGCAATAAACAAATAAAAATTATATATAAGTTAATTATGTTCGCCAATGTTGAAAAGAAAGCAAATAACAGCACGAACAACAACAACGAGAAGAAACTGTAACAACATTACGGAAGGCGGCAAAAATGTAAGCAAAACCATTTGTTGAATGAATAAATGAATGAAAGAACGAGCGACCGAACGAGCCAACGTATGAATGAATGAAATTGCTGTTCGTTCGTTATACATGAGTTACTACAATCAACTACATATAGTGACTGACTGGCTGACTCCGACTCTTCTCTGTGACTGTTATTACACAAACACTGCTACTTATTTACTTTTCTTCGCCCAAGTAACTAACTTGACAATAATAATAAAAAAACACGACAGGCGAACAACGTTAAGCGGAAATACTAAACAGAAGTCGCACAGAAAAGGCAGCAGAGTAGTCCGCCTGGCAGCCAGCCTGGCTATGCACATAATCAACCAACCACCAGCACCACCACCATATCGTAGAATACATTGTCCATAATCCGTACAAGAAAAATGACAGTAAATCATGGAAGCCGCCAATATATCGCTCCAAACCGCCAAAAAGACGACGACGACGCACGAAATGGTGATGGTGGCGTTGCTGATGATGATGGAATTGCATGGTTTTTGTTTGTTAACCGCCTTTTTTTCTAAAAAAAAACACACACAAATTTCATTCATAAAAGTAACTTGAACGTATATCCACACACAAGTTAACTATACACATACCCTCCTCCTTACATGTATTTTCATTTATGGCCATATCTCACTATATTTTATTTACTTTTATGTTCGTTTCGTTACACATTTCGGTAGCGAAGAAGAAGAAAAGAAAACAAATGTAAATATCATCATTACAATATTCAATCCATAGAAAAAGTGTAGTGAGGGGGTGGAAGGAACAAGATGGGGTAGAGAAGTCGACCATTTGTGGAGGTATTCTTTATAAAGTTTTTTTTTTTTTTAAGGGAAAACAAAATTTAGAATGTACGACCTTTTTCCAGCAATATTCCAGGTTTTTGGTGGGTGGACAATTTCTTCTGAGAATATTTCAATATAGGTCCATGTTTTCGTATAGCATTATTCTACAGATGAGCCCCTATGTAAAGTAGTGTATCTATAGGCAGAATTAATAACTTCTATAGGTCCTCACCAAAAATTCTAGTTTTGTTGTTATATTCTTAGTTTGATTTTGAGCCCCAATTAGAAGCATTAGGTTCCTAATTTTTCATCTACCGATTATAAAATATCTTTAAATGTTAACAAATCTATTAACAGAACACGATTCTGTTAATTGTTTTAATTTGTCGATAATGCAATGCATTTTTAAAAATAAAAATTATTACATTTCATTATTATGTGTACAAATAAACAAAATTAGCATTCATTCACAAAGGCTGCTATGTGCGAAACAGACAGACATACAAACGGCAAATATACCGAATACCTAGATCTCATTAAAGTCCAAAGACAACG